AAAGAATAAGCCTGAGGAAGAAGGAGATAATTAAGATATGAACAAGAATCAATGAAATGGAAAATAAAGGTAGACTAGACTTTTTATTTTCATAAAAGCCAAAACTGATTCTTTGAAAAATCTAATAACTGATTAAACAAATAAAAATGAAAAATGGGCATGACAATAGAACAGATTAAAAAAATATGAAAAAATAAGGGAATTCTTTTGCCAAAATAAAAGAAAACTAATACAAAAGGGTCAAGTTTAAAATGGAAAAGAAAGGTATAAATTACCAAAAATGGTTCACAAAAGATAGAAAACCTGAATGTTCCTACAACCATTTAAGAAATTAAACCAGGATTTTAAAAATCATCCACAATGAAAACTTTCAAGAAACGGATAATTCCAATTATTTTATAGAGATTATTCCTGAAGATGGAAAATGAGGAAATACTCTTCAACTCATTTATAAAACCTATATAACCTTGATACCCAAACCACACAAGGATATTATAAGAAAAGAAAATTACAAGCTAATCTCATTTAGAAATACAGATGTAAAACTTTTAAAAACAATTAGCAAACTTAATTCAACGGGATATAAAAAGGTCATGATGTCATAACCAATTTGGGTTCATCTTAGAACATCTATTAATGTCATTCATCATATTAATAGATTAATGGGGAAAACTTATGATCACCTCTGTAAATGCGGGAAGGGATGTCTGATAAAATTCAACATCAATTCACATAAAAATTCTTACCAAAACTTCCTTAACGCCATACATCAACATTATGCTAGGTGAAGAAGTATTACAACAGTCCCTTTAAAATCATTAAGGAGCCAAAATGCCCAGTATCATCACTTCTATTCACTGCTGCACTGTAGGTCCTTAGCTATTACAGTAAGCTAAGATAAACATAAATAAATAAGGAAATAAGGATTAGAATGGAAATTTAAAAATGATATAATTTGTACAGGATATGAACTGCCCACACAGAAACCCCAAAGCATCTACAAGTAACATGGTGGTTGGCTGGGCGCCTGGGTGGCTCAGTTGGTTAAGCGACC